CGCCACCGAATACACCTTCGACGGATCAGAGAAGGTCAAGGAGTACCTCGCCAACCCCGAGGCATTCGCCGCTGCCGCTCCTGTTGCTGCCGCTGCTGCTGCTGCTTCTGACGCCCCCAAGGCCGAAGAGAAGGTCGAAGAGGAGGAGGAAGGTTCCGACGACGATATGGTAAGACGATTCCGTCTACCTGAACTGACTGGGTACTCACGCACGTTTGACAGGGCTTTGGTCTCTTCGATTAAATTTGTATTCCGGAGTTCCACCGTCTGCAACGTATCGCTCATGTGTAGTTCATGTGTTTTCCATAATGAATATGCTACGATTTCCTACTTCTCACCAACCGTGAAATACCGGGATCGCGGATGCAAAGCGTGTGCGGCATAAGCTCGGATTGAGATATGATGAAACGATGACGGAGTATCGTGGGCAGCTGTGACTTGGGTCAAATACAGTCTTGTTTGTCAATTGCCTCCTTAGCCACTTATCCCAGTTTGGCAGACGCCCTTGGTTTTTTACACCTTTCTCCTCTACCGTCTCGTTCTCTTCGATAACACAACAATGGCTTCTCCAGTCAGCTCGCCACCGTTGACTTCGGCTGCAGACTCTGCAGGTGGCCACCTCATCGTCGTCTCCAACCGTCTCCCTGTAACTATCAACAAGGACGCCAATGGCGAGTACCACTTCAAGATGTCATCGGGAGGATTGGTATCCGCCCTCTCTGGCTTCAAGAAATCTCTCAATTTCACTTGGATCGGCTGGCCTGGGTTTTCTATCCCCCTGAAAGACCGCCCCATCGTCGACAAGCGTCTCAAGGAAGAATACTCATGTCAAGCGGTATATCTTGAAGATGACGTCGCCGATCGTCACTACAACGGATTCTCGAACTCCATCCTCTGGCCGCTATTCCACTATCACCCTGGTGAAATGAACTTTGACGAGGAGAATTGGCTGGCATATCGGCAGGCCAACCAGCAGTTTGCAGAAGCCGTTCGTCTACACATAACTCCTGGGGCGATGGTCTGGGTGCAGGACTACCATCTGATGCTACTGCCCATGCTGTTGCGCGGTTTGATCGATGGGCGGGACTCGGTTGGAGAGTTCACTTCGGAGGAATTGTCGAAAATCACGGAGGGTATTGTCGAGGAAACGACTGACTACGATCAGCCTCGCATACCTAACGTGAAGATCGGGTTTTTCTTGCACACCCCGTTCCCTAGTAGTGAGATCTACAGGTTAGTTTGTGTCTGGTTTTCTGGGATACTGCGGCTAATAATCTGTCAGGATTCTTCCCGTTCGACGCGAAATCCTTTTGGGAGTTCTGTATTGCGATCTGATTGGCTTCCATACCTACGACTATGCAAGGCATTTCTTGTCGTCCTGCACGCGTATTCTCAACCTTCCGACTATGCCAAACGGTGTCGAGTTTGAAGGGAGGCTTGCGCACGTCGGAACATTCCCCATTGGTATCGAACCAGCCAGCTTCATTGACGTACGACAGCTTGCTCTTCATCCCTTTGGCAAACCTGTGCTAATCAGCCCCTAACGTAGAATCTCAAACGGCAAGGTGTCCAAGATCGTATAACTCAATTGGAACAGCGATTCAGGGGTGTCAAGGTAATCGTCGGCGTGGACAGGCTGGACTATATCAAAGGAGTTCCGCAGAAATTGCATGCTCTGGAGCTATTCCTGACACAGCATCCAGAATGGATCGGAAAGGTTGGCTTTTGCGGAGTCCCCAGAACATCAAAAGCTAATGTTCGCTTCTAGGTCGTTCTCGTCCAACTGGCTGTACCTTCTCGCCAGGACGTTGAAGAATACCAAAACCTGAGGTCGACTGTAAACGAGTTAGTCGGGCGAATCAACGGAAGGTTCGGAACGGTCGAGTTCATGCCCATCCATTTCATGCACAAAAGCTTGGCCTTCGACGAGCTCTGCGCCCTTTACGCCGTTAGCGACGTCTGCCTTGTCTCAAGTACTCGTGATGGAATGAATCTGGTGAGTATTTTATTTCAAATCGTGGGCTTGTATTAATCTAATTGCTTGTTCTTTACATAGGTTTCTTACGAATACATCGCATGTCAGCAAGCTCGCCAGGGGGCTATGATTCTTTCAGAGTTTGCCGGAGCCGCTCAAAGCTTGAACGGATCGATCGTCGTTAACCCTTGGGACTCACAGCAAGTTGCAGATGCGATCCACGAGGCGGTGACCATGGACGCTGCCACACGTGCTGAGAACCACCGCAAGCTCTTCAAGTACGTCAACAAATACAGCGCATCGTTCTGGGGAAGCAGCTTTATTCGGGAGATGGGCAAGATTGTGTCTCAGAACCCGAATATCAAGGACGATGCAGTGACTGCCAACGCCAACGGATCGGCGGCTTAGGGCATGGGCCCATAAGGAACCGAGAAATGGCTCCTTTGCACATCTTCCATGGACGTGTTATAAACAATGGTGTCTGTACTTTAGACTTCTATCTTTCGTGCGCTTGTGCGCATTTGTTCGTGATCTTGGTTAGCCGAGCTCTTCTTTCGCTTTGAAAACCTGTACCAAATAAAATTATGTATGTATGTACTACCTTGTCATAGATAGGCATAGAAAGTCTTGATCTTGTCGATAGCTGCTAAAGTATGACTTCAATTTTGCACTTCGGGCGATCTGGATATGTACTGAATTGCCTTCATTGTCTCTGTATACGGGATTGTGGATTCTATTGTGTCGATTAAGCCGTCTGGGCTAAGCTCATCGTGCCCAGATCTGTCCAGCTCTCATCGCACTCACTTCGAACGCATTGCCCTTTAGTCCATGGCCATGGGTACTAGTTCCGACTGATTTGGCGTATACATCTCGTTTCGAGCTTGCGGTGGGGCAGGGTTCCTTCCGTCTGGCATTTTCGCCGCAACTTCCTGTTTCCTTTCGGCGCAAATGGCAGCAAGGTCGAGTAGTCGCCGTGAACACGGGGAATTGACCCCGATAGATTCTCGAGTCAGGGGATCATCTGCTTACCCCCCTCCTCATGCCTGAGGCTGTTCAAGGGAATCGACGGTAATACTAGGCCGTGCCGCACCTTCTTTGATGATGTGCAAGCCTTTAGCGTGCCGCTTTCCGCGTAGGTTTCAGCGGCTGCGCGACATATGCGTGTTTAGTTGGCTTTCTTTGCGATGATACTGAAGGTGTTACCAAGATCTAACGTTAACCCCGCCGCGACCACAAAGGAAGCGACTCGGAATACAGCTTTTGAGACGCCACTGCGCCGCTGCGACGTGGACCATTGTTTGAGATAAGTAAGAGTTCCGAACAGCGACGGTCATCTCTCCAGCAGGCGCGTTGCAACTCCTTGGAGAACGGCCCGGTTGTTAGTTTTGATGGCTTGAGTTATGAACTGTGGGCGCTAACCCATCAAGGATTCGCTAAAAGTGGCCATCAATTTCAAGGCTTCCAGGGTATCAAAATGACGAACCTTGTATTTATCGCATTTCGAGGGTATAAGAGGCGGCGTTTGCATTACAAGAATCGGCAGCTTGTCGCGAGTGCTGTAGATAGAACGACGATACCATGTGAGACGCCGCAATCGCCACACTGCGCACACTGGACCACTTCTAAGGCAAGGCACATGTCCCAACTATGTCACGGTAGTGAACTCGAACGTTTGTCATTGAATACCGCTGCGATAGCTGTGACCTCCGAAAGTTCACGAACCAGTTCAGTTCCTCAGAAGCTGGTGAGTTAGTATTGGGTACCTGAAATTAGGTCCGACATACGCTGCGCACTGAAAGTTTTCAATGCAATGCACGCGTCGGAGACGGATCCGACTTTTGACAACCGAACATTGTGTTCCGATGAGACATCATTTGTCATTGCCTGAATAGGCGCCTAAGCGGTGCAATTGTGGCTGGCAATTGACTATATGGACGGAGTGACATCTAAGTACCTTTGGCATGGAAATCAAGAGCCAGTGTTGATAATCAGGCCGGGGGATTATTTAACCGTTTTGCGTAAGACATAATCCACTTCATTGACCGGCGTCGGTGAACAGTCGCCATGGCCTTTACAGCCTTTACAAGCGCCAAGCATTCGTTTGTGCTGTCACGTTCTCCGCAGTGTTTACTTCCTTACTTCTAGAGGGAATGATAGGATGGAGGCATGGAGTGAGGGCACATAGAATTGAGTGGTTGCCTAATCGTGACCCTGGAATTCAGACGGACATAGGTTGGCGTGGGACTCAGACACGGCACAATGGTGTGCAACAGTGTCAGCTAAACTTGCCAGCCTTCGTTCTGGGAAGGAAAACACGTATTGGGCATGCCTACCCTGGACATCATGTTGAATCGACTTGCCTTGCGTTCTATTTCGCGGATATTCTGCCCCAGCTGTGCACTGCCTTGTCGACAAACTTGCGTACATCGAAATCATAGGCAGGTAGGGGCCCCAAGTCCGCAAACACCTGGGGCCCTCAGAATCAAATTCACCAAAGAATTGTGTAAGTGTAGGTGCTCACTGAGGTGTCATGTTGACAATGATGGTTAGACGCTGGATATATGCATCATGAACTGGTTCGAGTCAAAAATGGGGGTGCCTATAATTAGTGCAGCTGTAGACCCTGGCATCTAGCACATAGCAGGCATTCGGGGCTCGGAAATACAACGGTAAGTCATACGTTGTCCTTGACACTGGACAGGGGTTGCAAATTTTGCCAATGAGACCATTAGAGGCAGCAAGCTATCATTGTCGTTCGACATTGAATCGCTCAGGGGTTGCCCGCTTACGTGCCTGTTACTTCACTTCGAAATAAGATTGGTGCGTACTGGGAGGGGAAATGGACTTCATGAGTCACCCGAAGAAGGTTGTGGTGGGAATGGTTTTAGGTCCGGGAACAATAACACGAACGAAGCAGTGCGGCAACGGACGAGAAGACCGTCAGCAGGTCGCTTCTGGCCTTGAGGGGCAAGAAGAACCTGGCTTTCAGGTCCAAAAAAACATATAACAAAAGTCAATGCAAAAACGACGAACCTGGGACTCGAACCCAGAATCTCCAGCTAACGTTTCGAGTGCGGAATCCGCACACCACCGGAAACTGGCGCGTTAACCATTACGCTAGCCCGCCACTCGCCGGCAAAGGTTAGGGAGGGTACAATATCGACACGGTTGCATGGAAAGCTGTTGCCAGCGAAGTACATTGTTCCACCTTTCTGGACTGTAGAATATCGGTTTTGCTTCTGAAGGCAGAGCAAGGAGATATGAGTAACCGGAACCAATGCGGAAGCTTCTCAGGTGCTTAGCTATGTACAGTCGACACCGTCTTATCCCATAACGGTTGGGGGAAGCCCAAGGTTATGGGATTTCACGGGGTATGGGTTCAGGAGGGGACTTCCGTAA